GCTGCATAACTTTCTGATGCTATGAAGCTGATCAAGTTATTTATCACTGGAATTACAAAGGGATAGCCACATGAAACAGCTCCTCCTCATCCAGGAGAGGTGGAAAAGGGCAAAGCGTGAAGAACGATCAAAAGCTCAGAACACAGACAAGGATGTAGCTACCCACCTTCAGTCATCTCACAAACCCTCTGCTGAGGATGCAGAGGGCCAGGGTCCCCTTCTTTCTCAGAAGTACAGCCCTTCTACAGAGAAACACCTCCCTGAAATTCAGGGAGTCTTTGACAGGGATCCAGACACACTACTATTTTTATTTCAGCAAAAGAGTGAGCCAACAGAGCCATATATTGGAAGCAAACCCCGAAGGATGATAAAACAATTATCGAAGAGCAGGCAACCAAAATTGCAGATTTGAAGAGGCATGTGGAGTTCCTTGTGGCTGAGGATGAAAGATCAAGGAAAGAAAATAAACAACTGAAGGCTGAAAAAGCCAGACTTCTAAAAGATCCAGTAGATAAGGAGCTGGATGTGGATGCTGATTTTGTAGACAAGTCAGAGTTATGGAGCTTGCCACCACATTCAGACACTGCTATAGCTTCTTCAACCTGGCAGAAATTTGCAGTAAATATTGGGAAAGCGAAGGATATTCCAATACCCAAACTTCCTCCCTTGGATTTTCCATCTCCAGAACTTCCACTTATGGAACTATCTGAGGATTTTCTGAAAGGACTTATGAATAATTAAAATAGAAGGCTTTTGGAGAGATCAGAAGAAATTCAGCAACACAGTTGAAAATAAGAAAAAATTAAAAAGGTAAAACCACATACAAGGGTAATTCCAGATGTGCTTTACCATCTGGCTGACTGGCAGAAGCAGCATTGCCAGGATGTGGGAAACAGTCACTGTGAAATATATTGCATATCTGATCTACCCACTCGAGCTAAGGGTTCCCACCTGGCAGACAGTAAACTCCTGGAGATTCATTTTCTCCTGATACAAACCAAATGGGTACCTGGAATAATTTTCTCAAGCACCAATTATTTTTCTTCAGGGTTAAAATGTATAAAAGTATGTTATATATAATTAATCTATAATGCCATAAATGATAATGTAAAACCTAAATAATATGGTGGCCTGAGGGGCTGCCTTGTATTTGAAACATGCTTTCTATCATGCATTGACTATATGCATTTTTTATGCACATTTTGTTTGTTTAAGTAAGGTGTGTAGGATATATACCTTTCTAGATGAAACTATATGTGCCATGTTTTGCACTAATAACATAATGATAACCTCAAGACTACCAGGAGAAGTATTTAAATTTCCATTTTGTGAAGAAAGGAACCAAATTATTAGTTATGCTGTTTTTAAAAATTACCAGTTTACATAATTAATCAGGGTGCATTTTAAGTTCTAACTTTGTTATATAATGCATCATTTAAAAATACTAAGGAATAATCCTTTGTTTTTAATGATGCATAAGTAGAAATAATGCTAGTTGGCAGTAAGAAATCAATAAAGTAATTGTGTGTTTTTGTTTGTTTGTTTGTTTGTTTGTTTTACAAAAAGAACCCTGGAAGATGTGACTAAACCAAACCCCTTTGATCAGTTAGTTGAATGACAGTGGGCTTAAAAATCAGGTGCAGTTAAAAGAGAACAATGATTTTCTAAAGTCTGAATCTCCATTCAGAAGTTAAAAGACAATCCCACAAAACCAAGAATATAAAATTTTACTGCAAGTACTAGATAAGATAAACTCAGGGTATGAAGTCAGCATTCACCCAGAGAGAAGGGTGGCATTTCTAGCTGGGAAGTGCTATGAGATGATGGGAAGAGTTAGAAAGGCAAAGAATTGAATGAAGGCCATTCCTTTTCTCTATCCCCAGAGTGCCCTAGCTCAGAAGTGATAGAAACTCCAACAGAGCCCAAGATAGACCTGGGGAGAATCTGAGAGCTTCAGTTGATGTTGAGCTTCTTCAATACTGCCAAGGTTCACCAACAGTGGAAGATATAAAAATATCAGCCCAACCCAGCACTTTTTCTCCCCGGTGTATGCAGAGGAGATCTAAAGCCTCCAGGGGTCTCTAATAGGGTACAGGGGTGCTGAAAGTGTCAGGAAACACATTGCATGGGATTGGGATGACAAGCTGCAAGTGGGAGCTTTGCATCCCAAGGGCTTGGTGTAGAGTCAACAGTGGTAAGTTCAGGTCTGTTAGTGCACCAGCAGATTCAGAGGAGTCCAAATCCCAGATGCCACAGATGAAAATGCTGGATGCTGTTGAGGACACAGCAGGTAGCAAGGACTCATCCTCTTCCCCTGGGGGAATGTTCCAAGTGCCACTTGTGTTGATTTCCTCCTGATTAAGGCTTCTGTCAAGACTGTGTAAACAGTCTGAGTGAATCAGAGACTATCATTCCTTTATCCTAAGACCTCCAGGGGGTGTGGATGACACTGACTGAATCATAAGGGAATTGCAATGAAGAGAGGGCACTCCTGATGATTCAGAGTGTGATTCTTATGTCCAGGTGTTGCAGCAAATGAGTTAAGAATAATGGATGTGCTGCTGGAATCCAAGTATTACAAAGTAGGGACCTCTGTCTATCTAGTCTCTGTGACATTCCCAGTTCCTACATGGAGTTTGGACTTTGGCAGATCCTTGATACATATTTGTTGGAATAAATGAGTTTTTGCAAGCCATGGAGGAGGCACAAGTGAACTATTTCCTGTAACGAATAGTAGAATGTGCAATCTAGAGCCCCGAAAAGAAAGAAGTGAAATATGCAATAGGAAGGAGATATGGAATAACTAAAGTATCTTGTTAAAATATTAAAAAAAGAACACAGCTTCTGTAATTATACACTCTGGGACAAAGTACTGTTCTGCCACTTATTCCTGTTTGATCTGAAACAAAATGCTTGTTCTGTCAAAGCCTCTATTTACCCATTTGAAAAAATGGGAAAAATAAAAACAGTGCCAATTCAAAATATAATTAACAAAAGTGTTCAAGTGCCAGCAAGTTACTGCACCAAGGAATGTTCAAAATGAATTCAAGCTATTCATGTATAGAGAATTACACAACATAAAAATCAAAATATCTATTTTTACAGTGTTTACAATAATAAATAAAAAAATAGTCTGCATTTGTTCAAATCTTTATTTCATACAATTCATAAAGAACAAAATATGTGTCTGAAATAGGCATTTGTCTGTCATTTCCCCTCTTAGTAATAATGCACTCTTGTGTTTATGGAGCTTCTCATCTTATGATTCTTGGTGAAAGAATGAATTCATCCCACATAATAGAAAAGAAAAATGTCAAATATGTTCTCACCATCATTATTTAGGTATAGGGAGATGGTGTGGGCTCCACCAGTTAGACACACTCCCCACAGCACCCACACAGTATCCAGCCACACAGATCACAGGCACACGGCCACTGGACTGAAGGGTCTGGAGGACCTGTCGGTCAGCCATGAGTATACTGGGGACCTAGTGAGTTCCAGTGTAGCTATGGACACCCCTGTGTTATCAGTACCCACAGCCCCACACCAATGCCTGCAGACAGACCCAGGAAGCAGACTCCATTGGTGTCCCTCTCTACCATCTTTCCATAGTCGTGAAAAACACTTGTGTGAGAGTAGCACGAGTTCTTTTAATGGTAGCCCATGGACCTTCTGGATTAGTGACTTCTTCCCTCCATACTCAGCTTTCAGTATTGAGCGCCTCAGAAATGATATTTATTGGAAAACAGAGAATATAGGGCAGCTACTTCAGAGGGAAAATGTAGCCATCTGAGCCAACCAGTTCCTTTCCTTTTTCCAACAGAGGCCCCGTGGAGACTGAGTTCACGTCTGCCACATATGGGATTTGACAAAACTACAAACAAGGTCAGGGACAACCACCATCCAGAACTAAAAGAGCTCTCATATACCCAAATTTCAGAGGAAACCACATGGAAGTCACAAAATGAAAGTGAAGAAGCTTAGCTGAAGAAAAGAACATAGCAAAGGGCAGCTCCTTGACGTGAAAAAAAAAAAAAAAAAGAAATAACTAAAAATATTTGATGATTTCCCTTGACTTATGCAGGTCATTGCTTCAAAATAACCACTAAAGCATTTTAAGGAGGAAAGTGGTGGGAAAATGAAGTGGTTGACAGGAGGGGGAAGCTAAATGTTAAATTGTAGTTATAGTAGCAATAATAATTAATAAAACTGAAAATAGACTATAGATATCATTATTGCATCTCTTTTCAGAGGAAGCAATCCCGACACAATGAAGTCAAGAAATTTTCAACCGTCAGTCAGTTCCTAAGTGATAAAGATGGAAAACTAATAGATGTAGACATTGAAAAATGCTCCGGTGCTATTGTTGTACTGACAGAAGAATACAAAACCCTGAGTATAAATGTTTATATCCACAGAAATGTTTTCATATCCATATACCTACAAAGAAAATCTAGAATACACCATTCTGATAATAGTTGTTGGTCTTGGTTATGCAATCATGGATGTTTTTGTTTCCATTTTTATCCTGTTTCTATGAGTTTCTTCATGAGCATCTTCATCAGCATGTTCTGCTTATCAACCATGTGAATTTTTGGAACCCTTTCTCTTCTCTGTACCTCAGTATTTTCAATTCTAAAGTGCAACTACAAATATTTAAACTGTGTGACTATAGCCAAGGTTAAAAATGGGGAGAACATTTTGAAAAAAAATAGTATAGCAAGTACTTTTGAATATTTGCTATTATGAAAATATTTATTAAATATGCAATATGAAAAAATAGGATGCTGAGAAAAAGAGTTTATAAAATAGCTCCTGGGCATTTTCACAGAAACTAGAGCCCTTTCTGGTTCCACACTCATGCAAAGAGCCCTATGGTGACCACTAGGCCTATTTTAATATATGCAAGGCAGGACTGATGAGCGCGGTGCTGAGTCTGCAGTCAACACTGAAGGGCCCAAGAATCATCTAACACACCCCTTCCTACCCTCTTCCCAGTTCAGGTCACGCCCTCCTGACACTGACCTGAGACATCCAGACACCAGGTCCCCACCACTTCTTGAGGACATAGCCTGGAAGTCAACATGTCACTGCTGCAAGCTGTCACCTTCCTCTCCTTCTGGGCTGGTAAGTCACTCTGCCCATTTCGTTCTTTCTTGATGAGTAACTACAGTAATTTTTTCATGTTTTCTTCTCATATTCTCATATTCTCCTTTTCAACTCACAGTTGGACTTGGATTGTCAAAGGTGGAGCAGTCCGAAATATCGGTTTCTAAAGAAATAAAGAAAAGTGTTAACATAAATTGCAAGATATCCAGCACAAGTTTTGATACTGAAGTCATTCACTGGTACTGGAAGAAACCAAATAAGACTTTGGAGCATCTGATTCAAGTTTCTTCAATAAAGTCCCCAGCTCGAGGTTCCTTGAATGGAAAGGGCAACAAAATTGAGGCAAAAAAGTATTCTCAAACTTCGTCTTCAGTCCTTACCATATTTTCTATAGAAAAAGAAGATGCAGCCATGTACTACTGTGCCGGGTGGTCCACAGTATTAGAATTGTTGAGACAACCCACACAAGATCCTCTCCTTGGGCCTGAGCCCTCCCACATCCTTTCCTACCACAACCAACTCCACAGCTGGGCTCCCAGCCACAGGCTGCCTTCTCTGCAGCCCTCCTGTGCTCTCCAGGAAACCATCATTGGCCCTGGTTACAGGAGTTCACAGCTAGGCCCAGATATTGTAATTCCAAATCTCCAATTGACTCTATTTCCTAAGGGGTTCTAGCCCTGTCTGTAGACTGAGAGGAACAGGCTTTGCCAATGTTCATCATAACAGCTACCAGAGGCATTTGGTAAGTGCAAGGTGCAGGTAGAAGGGGATTCATAGTGTGTCAGTGTTGTCACACATAATCAAGACAACCCCTTGCAGTGTACCCATCACTGGTCCACTGCATCATGAAGAAGTTAAAGCTTAGAGGAAAGGAGCCTAATGGTGGATACCCAAAGACAAGAAGTCATGCCCTTTTGAACTAGCCTGAGAAGTTTAAGAATCACAGTTCTGTAAGTGAATGCCGGGATATCTGGGACACATTCGTATGGAGCAGATGTCCTTTATATGGGAGATGTGGCGAGGAGGATTCTTCCAGCTTCTGTTATCAGAAAAGAGCTCGAGCCACTGAGTACATTAATTGTGCCTACAATTTTGGTAATACTTGGTCCTCCCTGTTAAAGAAGCTGCCAAGACCAGAAGATGACCATTATGATTCTTCACATATTTCATCTCTTTTAATCTACACTGCTGTCAGGTTAATTCTGCTATTGTCATTATGCATACCTGACTCAGGAGATAAGTGAAGCATTGAGTGGTTCAGGTCCAAATCACAAAGCTGATCCGAGTAGGTGGGAGTTGGAACCCAGGTAATCTGGCTCCACTGAACTATTATGCTGCTAAACTGTTTACTTGTCTCAGGGGGATCAAATAAACAAGACATAGTTACTATCCAATGGAGGAGACATTGACCCATCATGAAGCATTAAGTGGTACAAATTATTACCATGTGCTGAAGACTCTGCCCTGGATTTAGAATGATTATGTGTCTTTATGGACTCCATGAAATACCAATAATTTTCCAATAAATGTATGAATATAAACCAATACAAAAATCCTTGTTTTTTTAAAATTCTAATTTATTATATATGACAGCAGAATACATTACAATTCCTATTACACATATAGAGCACATTTTTTCATATCTGTGGTTCTATATAAAGTGTATTAACACCATTCATGTCTTCATACATGTACTTTGGAAAAAGGTGTCTATCTCTTTCCACCACTTTTTTTTATACCCCTTGCTCCCTCTATTCCCCTCCCTCCCCTTTTCCCTATCTAGAGTTCATCCAATTTTCACATGCTTCCCTTCCCAACCTCACTATCAATCAGCCTCCATATATCAGAGAAAATATTTGGCATTTGGTTTTTTGGAATTGGCTAACATCACTTAGCATTATATTCTCCAACTTCATCGATTTACCTGCAAATGTCATGATTTTATTCTCTTTCATTGCTGAGCAATGTTCCATTATGTATATATGTATACCACATTTTATATATCCATTCCTCTACTGATGGGCACCTAGGCTGGTTCTATAGTTTAGCTATTGTGATTTGTGCTGCAGTAAACATTGATGTGGCTGTTTTTATGCCCTTTGGGTATAGACCGAGGAGAGAGATAGCTGGGTCAAATGGTGGTTCCATTCCAAGTTTTTCAAGGAATCTCCATATTGCTTTTCATACTGGCTGCACCAATTTGCAGCCCCACTAGCAATGTATAAATGTGTCTTTTCCCCCACATCCTCACCAATACTTATTATTGTTTGTATTCTTAATAACTACCATTCTGAGTGGAGTGAGATGAAATCTTAGAGTAGTTTTGAGTTTCATTTCTCTAATAGCTAGAGATGTTGAACACTTTTTCATATATTTGTTGATTGATTGTATATCACCTTCTGAGAAGATTCTGTTCTGTTCCTTGACTCATGTATTGATTGGGTTATTTGGGTTTTTTGGTGTTTAGCTTTTTGAGTTCTTTATAAACCCAGAGATTAGTGCTCTATCTGATGTGCAAGTGGAAAAAAATTGCTCCTAAGATGTAGGCTCTCTATTCACCTCACTGATTGTTTCTTTTGCTGAGAAGAAACTTTTCAGTTTGAATCCATCCCATTTATTGCTTCTTGGTTTTATTTCTTGTGCCACAGGAGGAAGTAGGGGCCTAATTTGATATGATGGAGATTGGGGCCTACTTTTTCTTATATTAGTCTCAGGGTCTCTGGTTTAATTCTTAGGTCCTTGGTCCACTTTGAGTTGAGTTTTGTGCATGGTAAGAGACAGGGGTCTAATCTTATTTTGTTGCATATGGATTTCCAGTTTTCCCAGCACCTTTTGTTGAAGAGGCTATCTTTCCTCCAATGTATGTTTTTGGCACCTTTGTCCAATATAACTGTAATTATGTGGGTTAGTCTCTGTGTCTTCTATTTTGTACTATTGGTCTACCAGTTTATTTTAGTGCCAATACCATGCTATTTTGTTACTATTGCTCTGTTGTATAGTTTAAGGTCTGGCATAGAGATGCTACCTGCTTCACTCTTCTTGATAAGGATTGCTTTGGCTATTCTGGGTCTCTTATTTTTCCAGATGAATTTCATGACTGCCTTTTCTATTTTTATGGGGAATGTCATTGGGATTTCTATTGAAATTGCATAAAATCTGTATAGGGCTTTTGGTAGTATGGTCATTCACTCTGATTCCAAAACCAGGCAAAGACATATCAAAGAAAGAAAACTTCAGACCAATATCTCTAATGAATATAGATGCAAAAATTCTCAACAAAATTCTGGCAAGTTGAATACAAAAACATATCAAAAAGAGAGTGCACCATGATCACGGGGGTTCATCTCAGGGATGCAAGGTTGGTTCAACATAAGGAAATCAATAAATGTAATTCATCACATCAATAGACTTAAAGATAAGAACCATATGATCATCTCAATAGTCACAGAAAAAACATTTGACAAAATACAGCACCCCTTTATGTTCAAAACACTAGAAGAACTAGGGATAACAGGAACATATCTCAATATTGTAAAAGCTATCTATGCTAAGCCCCAGACCAACATCATTCTAAATGGAGAAAAATTGAAAGCATTCCCTCTAAAAACTGGAACAAGACAGGGATGCCATCTTTCACCACTTCTATTTAACCTAGTTCTTGAAACACTAGCCAGAGCAATTAGACAGACGAAAGAAATTAAAGGGATATGGATAGGAAAAGAAGAACTCAAATTAACACTATTTGCTGATAATATGATTTTATACCTAGAAGACCCAAAAATTTCCACCAGAAAACTTCTAGAACTAGTAAATGAATTCAGCAAAGTAGGAGGATACAAAATCAACATCCATAAATCAAAGGCATTTCTGTAAATCAGTGCCAAATCCTTTGAAAGGGAAATGAGGAAAGCTACCCCTTTTACAATAGATTCAAAAAATAAAAGCCTTGGTAATCAACCTAACAAAAGGGGTGAAAGACCTCTACAAAAAATAAATAAATAAATGAATGAATGAATGAATAAATAAATAAATAAATAAAAACTACAGAACACTAAAGAAAGAAATCAAAGAAGAACTTATAAGATGGAAAGATCTCGCTTGTTCTTGGATAGGCATAGAATCCTTTTGCAGCAAGTTTCCAGAAAGAACATGCATATCTCTGGATAAGTTTCCTGTATGTAGTGTTGAGCTTATTTAGACATTCCCAAAATGCAATCAAGCTATTCATATTCATTATCCTCTATTTTAAGAATGAATGGTCAAATGTTTAATTTTGAAACTCTTTAAGGATAAAAGGGATTTTTCACTTTAGGAAGACTCAGGAGATGCACTAGACATGTGAACCCTCAGTCTGGGAACTCATCATACTTTGATTCTTCATCTTCTTTGATTCTTTGTCTTTACTGTTTCTGAGCATGACTATTTTTTTTAAAAGGAAGAACCATGTCCTGCTAAGTCTAAATATAACTTTCCTAGTTCTCCATTTTTTTTTTATGGAAATAACCAACCAATCAAACAAACAAGGAAACAGCTCCTGAAATGAACATACCAAATGCAAGATCAGCCTTTTCCAAGTTGAAATGCATGGAAACTGTGGATTAATCTTCTCAAACTGTCCTCACTAAATTATTTGCATGTATTTCTGGTAATGTAGCATTTCCTGAGGACCAGGCTTAAGGAGAAACAGTTACAATTCTCTTTTAAATATGTTCTCAAGAAAATTATAACAATGAACAAAATGGAAAAAATGGAGCATGCTTGTGCTGCTTTTAAAAGATAGAATATATGAGGTCTTAAAAATGACATTTTTGAGGATTCATGAGTACATGTGAAAATGTTTATCATCGAACTCAAAGAACACATAAAGTACAAATACATATACATTCCCTTTCAAATATGTAAATGTCTATTTCAATGGAAGGAACAGAAGGAAAGGAAACATAGAATTCTTAAGGCAGGCTTTATTTCTCCAATTGAGTGGGTGGGTTACTTTATTCTTTATACTTTTGTTGATTTGATGCATTTTCCAAAAAGGACTACAACAACTGTTACAACTAAAATATTATTTAACCAATAAGTTCTTTTTTCTAGTTTTAAAGCAATAATGAAAATAAAACTTGAAAAACCTCATAAATAAATATTATGTGTCAAGTACTATTATCTATACTTTCTCTTCATTATAATTCTTATATGAGAACATAATTTTATTATGGGTCTGAAAAATATTTAGGCACATATAGATGTAGAAACAGACACAAAGATTTTATATAACTCAGGTGACCTCAGATGGATTAGAAATTAGCAGGGGTGCTTATTATCACAGGCCTTTAATTGGGATATTCACATTTTAGGGAAGTAGTATATAAATATAAAGTTAGCTAAAAGAAGAGCATATGAGCCTACAAATGCAAAGCCCATTTAAAATTTTAATAGTAAAATGATCCAAACACATTGCTTCATAAACATGCACAGAAAATACTTAGAAGTAAAAAAGTGATGGCTTTTATTGTCATTTTAGGGGGAATGTTTACTCAGGTTATCTGCAGTGAGCATCTGATACTCATCCAAATTCCCTGGATACCAGGAAAGTGACTGAGGGTAAGTTATCTTTGCCCCACTGATCTGGTCTGTCACAGGGAGGTCCCAATACCTTTGGGGATTGGTAAGAGTGAAAATGAAAGTACAAGAAAGCATTTTTAACATTGTTGGTAAGTCCTTGGTAAATATTTACGTATATTATTAATTGCAAAGCCTTATTACCATAAATGAAAATGAACATTACTTAAAAATACCCCTCTCACCAGGCGCTGGTGCATGTCTGAAATCCCAGCAACTCGGGAGGCTGAGGTAAGAGGATTGTGAGTTTAAAGCCAGTCTCAGTAGATTAGCAAGGCACTTAGCAACTCAGGAGACCCTGTCTCTAAATAAAATATAAAAAAGGGCTGGGAATGTGAATGAGTGCTTAAGCGCCTTGGTTCTAATCCCTGGTACCAAAATCATAATAATAATAACAGCAACAACAACAACCCTCTCTTTGATAGTATATATGAGACAGCTCCAAAGTTGCCTCATCTAGTGCTCAAAAGAGTCTCACAGAGCAGTAAAGAGCTTTCTATAGTGAGATGCCTGTGCTTTCTGGGAGAGCTCCCCAAAACCTTGCTGGAGTCTTCATAGCTTGAAAGCAACATTTCACAGTGTGAAATTGCAGAGCAAAAGGGTGAGTAGGTAACAGAACTACCCCTCCCCGAAAACAGGAACAGTGTGTGTCAGGGAGTCTTTCCACGTAGTCAACACACATATCCAATCTGCTCAGCTCATGAAGTTTCATGCAGGAAACCCTAGAACCTCTCATAACTGCAGCAGATCATAAAGAACCCAGGAAACCACCTGACCCTCTACTTCTCTGAGACACCAGAACAGCCACACCCTCCTGCACTGACCTGAGACCTTAGGTCTCAGGACCCTCACATTCTCATCTTCTTCCTGGGCACCTAGCACGGTAGGTGGGATGCCACTCCTGAAAGCAGTCATCCTGTCCTCCCTCTGGGTTTGTGAGTTTCCCCCTGTCACTACAGTCTCCAGAAGAGAATGAAGTTCTTCTTTTTTTGTAGTTTCTTCATGTGTTGTTTGTTCATAGGACTCTCTCTTCTTTGCTTGCAGTTGGACTAGGGCAACTGGTGCAACCTAAAATAACAATTTCCAGGGCAACAGATAAGAGTTCTCAGTTAACTTGTAAGTTATTCCTCTCTGACTTGGACAGAGAAGTCATACACTGGTACTGACAATCAAGGTCTAGAGCATCGAATAAATGTCTGGACATCACCTACTGAAAAAGAATTAGGTGAGAAGAACAAATTTGAGGCAGTAAAAATTCTCAAACTTCCATTTAGACCCTGAAAATGAATTTCTTAGAGAAAGAAGATGAAGCTATGAACTACTGTGCCTGCTGGATGAACACAATAGAATTTCCAGAATAACTTCCACAAGATCCACCTCCAGGTCTGTGCCCATTCACTTTCTTCTCATATGAGCAGCGACAGTGGCTGCTGAGCTGGGTGCCCAGGCTGATCCACCTCTCCAGCAGCATTTCCAGAGCTTCCCAAGAGGGGCTTCTCGATTCTGCTCTCCCAGTGAGCCCTGCATGGTGTCAGCAATTATGATTCAAATTAAGAATAATTTGAAACTATTTTCTATTAAGTCAGGTTATCAGAGAATTCTGAAAATACAAGGTTCACAGCACACTCCATCTGTTTGTTATCTGACTGTACATAGATTTCCAGTAACCGAATGGTTCAGAATGAATGCAGGAGAGGGTTAAATGCCCGGGAGACATGTACCTTCTATACAGATTTCCTGTTATTGTTATTTTCTCATTTCTTTCATGAGCATCAGAGGTTTTCAGAAGTAAAATGATCTGTGAAGCACAATAATTTATTCCATTTCATTAGTATCCAGTGCTCAATCTGAATAAATCTAGTGACCTTTATATCTATAAGTAAATAATCAGCTATTAGGGGTCCATGAGTGACCAAAGTACAAATCCTGCCTTTGGGGAAATAGGCCACAGCTCTATACATACTCAGGATTCATGGCTGGAAGAAAACAAGTCCTTCTCCAAGCGTATGCCCTGGAGACTTTGTATATGAGAATTATGCAAAGAAAACAAAAAATCCTGAATAAAAGACAAGCACTTAAAAGGGGGAGATAATACCTGCTTTGTACATCTACACAGAATGCAAAGCTAATATTTCCCACAAATTAGCAAAGGAAAAAGTAATTATTGACAATTATTCTATGTTTATTCTGTGAATACCAGCTGGATGTGAACTTTCAAGAAATAATGGGACAAAATACTAAATGTGAAGCTATAAAAATTCCTCTTCTATTTTCTTAAAGTCTATTTTCAAAAAACATTGAAATTAATGAGGCAAAAATTTTATATCAGAAAATTTTCTTGTATTGATAATGTTATTAATATAGATTTCTTATCACATAATATCCATGTATACATTTTACCTACACATCTGAAATCACTGAAACGCATTCTTACTCCATTTCTCCCTCTAAGGATCAGATTGTGCTACGAGCAGATATGCTGTTGAAGCCCAGTGAGGGAACACTAGGGGGTGCATGGCACATTCTGTGAGGCAGACTCAGAGCTTCCTGTCCCACACCCTGTGCTTCGTGATTCCTGACCCTGGGGTTATAGTGAGAATTACCAGACCACCTAAATCTCAATAGGTCTCATCTCTCACCTAATGTGCACAGAGACACAATGGAAGGAAGACTAAGGGAGGGTAAAAACAGTCTGAGAATACAAACACTTTTTAAGAAGAAATGATTGAAAAGATGGAATTAAGCTTCTTATAATATCTGTGCTAAATATTTAATACAGATCATTTCCTTAAATCCTCAAAAGAGCAGTGTAGAGTCCCACTGCAGGGTCCCATCAGATCACGTGCTGGGAAATGAAACTATCTTGACTTTACAACAGATGTTTGTGGGGTGGAAACTTGGAGAAATAATAAAGTGATGAAGAGGAGGGAAGGGGGCACCTTTTCTATATGGTTTTATAGATTTCTAGAGATTTCTCTTTTTCAAACCTGCCAACAATTGCAGTCGAGTTCCTTCCTAGAGTTACCAGATTATGAATGAAACATGATTTCTCTGAGACATGATTGATTAGGGACATCCCAATTGCATATATATTCACATACATACAAATATACACATCAAAGTGTCTGATTTTTTTGTTGTGATATTGAAAAATTAAGGTCAGGATTCTTACCTGAGTTCTGACTCAAGAGGAAATCACAGAGACAGATATGATGACAGAACACAGCAGCCATGTCTTCGTAGCTCCAAAGCAATATTTCACAGTGTGAAATTGCAGAGGGAAGGGGTGTTCCAGCCCTCCCCCAAACCCAGATGAACCCTTGCATCCCAGTGGTTCTTTCCACATACCCAATCTGCTCAGCTTATGTGGTGAAGGATACCCTAGAATTGCTCATAACTGTAGCAGATCACAAAGAACCCAGGAAATCACCTGACCCTCCACTTCTCTGAGACACCAGAACAGCCACACCCTCCTGCACTGACCTGAGACCTCAGCTCTCAGTACCTTTACTTTCTCACTTTCTCCCTGGGCAGCAAACTATCAGAAGAGAGGGATGCCACTCCTGAAAGCAGTCATCCTGTTTTCCCTCAGGGCTACTGAGTTGCCCCCGATCACTACAGACTGCAGAAGAGAATGAAGTCATTCTTTTTTTGTAGTTTCTTCATATATTATTTGTTCATGAGACTCTCTCTTTTTTGCTTGCACTTGGACTAGGGCAACTGGAGCAACCTGAAATATTAATTTCCAGAGCAACAGATAAGAATGCTTACATATCTTGTAAGGTGTTGTTCCAAAATAGTCTCAGACCAACCTTATACTGCTACCAACAGAAACCAAATCAAGGTCTGTAGCATATATTATATGTCTGGACAACTACTCAAAAGGATTTAGATGGGAAAAACAAATTCAGAGCCAGCAAAAATACATGCACTAATACTGCAACATTGGCAATTTCTTAGAGAAAGAAGAAGAGACCATGTACTACTGTACTTGCTGGATAAGGACAAAATTAAAGTTTCCAGGATAATTTAGACAAGAACTACTTCCAAGTCTGTGCCCATTCACCTTCTTCTCATATGAGCAGCCACAGTGACTGCTGAGCAGGGTGTCCACCCTGAGACTCCCTTGTCTACAGCACTTCCAGAGCTTTCCAGGGAAACTCCTGGATTCTGCTCTTAGTGAGCCCTGCATGATATTACCAATTATACTCTGAAAACACAGGGTAGATGGCTGAACATAGTACAGTTGTTGTTTACTTGACTGTACAGATTTCCAGAAATTGAATGTTTCAAAATGAATGCAGAAGAGGCTCAAAATGAATGCTGAACAGATGTGCACCTATTATATAGATATTTCTTGTGACTGTCATTTTTTCCATTTTATACCTGAGCACTGGAAGTTTTCAGAGGGACAGAATGATCTGTCAGACATAATAATTGTATCTTTTGGTATCCTGAGACCATCTGAAGAAATCTAGTGATATTTAAATTTATAAGGAAACAATCAGCTATTAGGGGTCCATGAGAGATCATTGTACAAATCTTATATCTGGGGGAAGAGGTGGCAGCTCTGTCCACATTCAGGGCTGAGGGCTGGGACAAAACAAAGCCTGAAGATCTTGTATATCAGAGCTCTGCAAATAAAACAAACAAACAAACAAAATCGTGAATAAGAGGAACAGATAGTTAAAAAGAGATAATACCTGCTTCCTGCATCTACAGAGAATGCAAAGCTAGTATTTCCACAAATCAATAAAGTAAAACATATTTATTGATGATTATTTTATATTTAGCCTGTGAATACCAGCTGGATGTTTGAGAACTTTCACAGAATAGTGGGACAAAATATTAGACCCCAAATATGAAAATTCCACTGGTACCTCTCTTATAATCTACTTTCAAACAAGGCAGAAATTAATGTGAAAAGTTCTTACATCAGAAACTCTTCCCATGTTAACACCATTTGTGAATTTCTTAGCACATAATATCCATACATGAAATTACTGCAACATATCCTTGCTCCATTTCTCCCTTCTAAGGATCAGATTGTGCTATTAAGAACAGAGATGCTGTCGAAACCCAGGGAGGGAACATTGGGGGCTCCAGGGCACGTTCCCAGGGGCAGGCTCAGGGCTGTCTGTCCCATACCTTGTCCATGATGATTCCTGATTTTGTTATTACAGTGGGAATAACTAGAGCAACAGACCTCACCTTTCACCTAATGTCTATGAGACACAAAAGAAAGAAGACTAAGGTAAGGATAAAAGCAGTCTAAGGATATGAACCCTTTTTAGGGGAATGACTATCATGGGGAGGCCAGCACCCTGCTAGGGTAAATTTTTACTAGAATGAATGAATGAATGATATAGAATGCAGGGCTTTTGAATGAGATAGGCCTGGGTGTTAATGTTCTTGCTGGGCCACTCACTGACAATGTTATCTAGGAAAATTACTAGAGCTTTTTATTTTGTTTCCCAACGTTAAGTGGGAACAATGTTAAGTGTTAACAATTGCCGTGGGGTTTCTCAGAAATTCATAGAAAATCACATCTACCTTGTCCTCCAAATAATATTAAAGGGGTGCTTTAGTTAAAAAAAAAACTAGGAATTTTGAAATGGACAAGAGTAGACATAAAAAGATTTTTTTTTCTCCTTTAACAATAGCATGAAATACCTCAGTGTCTGTAACCACACTAATTATTAATAAGGCATCAAGCTGTGAACTTTGAGCAAACTACTGATCCATAAAACAGACTTATTTCTGCACTCAAAATAAGCATGTATAGCTATCCACAGGTGTTACAAAATATGGGAAAGTATAAAATGCAGGTGATTATAAAAAAAAAGAGGTCAAGGATAGGAGTATTAGAAACATTTAAAGGACAATAGGGAGGAAATGCTCCTATGGAGGTTGGGGGTGGGGTAAGGTAACATAGTATTAGTGCACAGATGTTTCTCTGGTCTTCTGGGAACTGACAGTCTCAACACCAGGAACCTGATGAAGCAGCACTGCAGCAGATCTCATTGTGCAGGACTCTCATTGGCTCAGAAACTAGCCTTTCCTCCCTGTCCCTACTCCTCAGAGCAAGAGCTCCACCATACCCCAGGTCCTGTTCATGCTTTCTGGTGCTGTAAATCCTAACTAGTCACTGAAAATGATAACCTCATGGATTTTTCTTGTGACTTTGACTTGGATTTGTAAGTCAACATAACTTCTTTCTTGTCCTGTTCCATTCATGTACATAATCATCTGGACACAAAAATAATTTTAATACCTATGATCTCTCTTCTTTGCTTTTCAGGTGGAGACTCCAAAATAAGGTTATTTCAGGATCAAATAACCTTAACCCGAAGATCAGACAGAACAGCACACATCAGTTGCAAGGCCTCTGGGATCCCCCTCCAGAATGCCATTGTGCACTGGTATCAACTGAAAGAAGGGGAGCCCCTGAAGCGGATCCTTTATGGCTCCTCCAAGACTAACAAACAAGATAAGCCCAACCCCCGCTTGGAGACAGAAGAGAGAGAAGATGGCATCTTTTATCTGATAATCAATAATGTTGTCACCTCAGATGAAGCCACATACTTCTGTGCTTGCTGGGATCCCACAATGTCACAGAGTCACAAGGGACCTGTATGAGAACCTCCCGATTAAGACCCCTCAGCTGTGTTTATATGCAACCACATGGACTCTCCAATACTGTCATTGCCAGGTTCACAGGTGTTGGAACAGAAAGGTGCTTGGGACATATTTAGCCCAATGCTTTCACTTAAAATTAGGAGCCAACTGGCTTGCTCAAGCTAGCGAACCTCAGAAGCAGGAATACTCCTACCTTTCAGACTCTGTTCAGTGCCTCTTTCTACCTCTCTTGTGGTCAATATTGATTATTTTTTTAAAGCAACATTGCATATCTTTCAAAAGGAATCTGGGAACTATTTTTTATCTTCCAAGTGATAATCCAGTCTCCAACCAGGTTTTATGTAGGTGAAGTACGTGACTGCCACACTATTTAGAAAGGGTGAAGGTCAGCAGAGGATGGACTCCAGGCTCCATCAATCCCCATTCTGCTATCCCATCCAAGGTTACTTACCCTCCTTTCTTATAGCTTCATTTCTGTTCTGAAATCATAACACTGGAATAGTTTCTTCAGCATATACACCCAACATAAGGTCATGCATAAGATGGCACTGACTTCCTAATGAATATACGTGTAAATACTTTGCCAGTTCCAGAAGGACCTGCTGACCCAAGGCCAAGATTTCCTCTACTTCACTGTGAAACCTGAAAACATTTCTAATTTGTCTTTGGTTAAAAGGGGGGGGGGGCACTGGCTAACTTCTGCCTTGTTAGTCCCATGACTTATTTATGTCAAATGACTTACCAGATAATACTTGAAAATAATAACAGCAACACTCAAAAAGTCCATGCTATGATATTACACCTAAACACTACTAATAAGTTACCCAAACAAAATTAAGTATAGTCATAGTCCCTTGTACCACAAACTACTTAACACGTTATTTTTATCCTCAAGCTTTTACATCTCAGTAAGTGGCAAAGGTTTCCTGTATCATATATCACAATGGCAAGGATGTTTGATGAAATGCATGGTAGTGTTTTTTTTTTTAATATTTTATTCATGTTCTTTCTCCTCCAGTAATGAGAAATAAAACTATGAGGAAACCCAAACATTCTTAAGTTTTTTTTTTTTTTTTTTGTGTGTGTGTGTGTGTGTGTGATGTGAGTTATGAAAGCAGAGATGGGAACCCTAGGAACTAAGGCTTCACATCCTCAGAAGTCAACCACACACCAGATCAAACCCTGCTCAGAATCACCTCAGATGACATTTGGCTGTCAAGATGATCTCCAGCCAAAACTCTAGATATTAAGGCCAGAGCACTTCCACTTGCCTCTCTATCTCAATGTAGGTTTAGAAACTCCTTACATTCACACTGACATGTGCAGGGTAATAGGCAATCTTGGACAGCAATAGGTGCCTATTTATAATTCTGAAGGGTACGGCCAGAATATTCCCCTGGTCACTGCAATCTCCAGGTATAATGCAAAGACAAATAAAACAAGTAATTTGTACAATTCAATTGGATATTCAGTTTAAACTAGACCCAGCCCTATATATTCTAGTGTTAGGTGATTGCATTTAGTGCTCATTGTTCTTTTTTTTTTTTTCATTCCAAACAAGGTATTTGACCATTTAGATTTCTAAGTAATAACAGTCCACATGGTAAACAGAATATCAACCATTATGAAGTAAACACTTTCATTGTTGACAATGATAAAAAAATCTTTAGAACAAATTCTATTTGTTCCAAATAGAATTGGAACAACCAATTAAGGAAGTTCAAGAACAATTTTTCTAAATATTCTATAGCCCAACTATAGAAAGGTAGTCAAATGAGAAACTAAGATTAGTTTCAATATTAAAACACCTTACATAAGCACCAATTCTGATATAACAACTTAATTTAAAATGACTATTAACTATAGAACAAATAAGTTGTAAAACTGACATTCAACATCTATACTGATTCCATTTTATAATTTTGTTGCTCAACCCATCACTATAAACAAAATCAAATCATACATTTGGTAAAAACTAAGGTTTTTTGTTTGTTTGTTTGTTTTACAATGTTATTCAGCTCAATAACATTGACTTGAATAATATCAATTTTTTTCTTCAATTTGAAATAATAAAAGAGGGAAAACAAAGTCCTACATGGCCCAATGAATCTCATAAAATTATTTTTTAAAAAATTCTTTAAATTTTAATACTAAAAGTCTTGCTGCTGCTGAGCAACACATGGTACAATAGGATAAATAAAATTTCAAAGGATGGAATCTAAACCTGTATTGTGGAGACAACTGAAAAACCTGACACAGGAAGGTAAATGTCTAACCACAATGTTTATAGTTATGCTGGCATTGTGAGCTGTCAGGTAAGTAAAATCTAAGGAGAGACTTCAATGGACCCGTTTTCCAGATCCACCTCTTATTTATGTACCTAACAATGTGGACTAGGGAATTCATCCCAGTATTTTCTAATGATACTTACATGATGGGAGATTTTACAGGTAAACATTGCATTTATTCATGTTGCTGGATTTAATTATACTGGCTACAATTGGAACCTGAATATATGTTGGTCCCATGACGAGCATGTTGGCTACTTAAAAGTGGCTTTTGAGGAAAGGAAAGCATAGAAAAAGACCTAGGCCAGCCAGTCATACTGGTCCTTAGAACTTAAGATTATATCTGGACAGTTATTAAAATGGGACGATTATTGAAATGAAATTCTTTCATAATAAGCCAATTATTTCCACAGAATATCCACCAATATTTCATTACTTTAATCATTCTGCAATAAAATTTGGCATCTTTCCTAATTGAATGAAATATACAAATGCTTTGCCAGTGTGACATAAAATCTCTAGTAGTGATGAATAAGTTTTGGGTTTATCTTCAAAAATTGATAAAAGGCAGTCATATGCCATTTCCTACAAAAAGTCTAAAGTCAGGAAAACTTCACATGGAAGCACTGTCACTAAATGTGTTTCACTTTTCCTTTTTCTTACAAAGAATTTGCAATTCTTAATTTAGTAAAAGATCTAAGAAGCTAAAAATATAATTGAGTTATCTAGAACTATTTTCAAAATGTAAAAAGAAGATTGAATATACAATCATTTCAATTCTTTAAAAACCCATATGATTTAGATTACTCCCTGTTGTTTTGGTATTATTTACAGCCATGTAATGAAGCCCAAATTAAAGCCTGGCAAACTGATTGATGTTACACTAGAAAGATCAATAATTCATGTTTAGATTTATAACAGTTATTCCTTATTTGATAATAATTTGGGTCCTATGTATCTTAATGTATTCTTTCAGATTTTTATCTGTTTCCGTATTCACTATATTTATGGACTTATTCCATTCTCTTATGATATTATGACCTCTGAAAGTTCCATTGGTAATATTCTAACTTTTAGGAAGGATGATATTCAAAGAGATCTCTGGAATTTAACTGCAGCCTCAAATTTTCTACATTATACAAATGGCCCCATGCATAACTTTATAGGCAGGAACCACAAGGAGGGTTCTTGCTTTGGCCTGTGAGCCTTTTTCAATCCTCTTATGTTTTAAATATTGTAGATATAAAAATAAGAAAAAAATGGATAATATTCTGTAAATTGTAAAAAATGTAATCTGACTAAGCTCATTTTCTTAATAATTTGGCTCAAAGTATTTCTAAAGTCCCATGCAATTAGGTAAGTATCGATAGATTGAAACTAAAATATTCTAAAAGCTGTTATTTCAAATATCAATAGTGAGCTTTCTACCCTCAAATTCAAACAAAGGCTTAAATGCTATGCTAAATATGGCTGTATTACTGCAGCCAAATATCATACTTCCTGATAAATTTGGGAAAAATTAAAAGATCATCTAATGGATGTTTAACATAAAAATAATAATGGTTTAAATCTCATGGGGATACATCAAAGCACCCAGGATACTTAGAAAAGCAGGACCAATCTCATGGTCCCTGCATCTCTAGCTGCTCAAATACTTTGTAAATTAATTGGCTCCCATCCTGGAAACATGTTAAAGCTATCTACATTGTATGTTATTGAAATGATATGTTTGCTATTAATTCTTTTTAGAGCATAATAATAGATTGTGATGCCCTTGGATCAAGGACCCAATGATGCAAAGTCCCCTTATTTGCATTTATAAATTAAAAATGGAAGAGATGTCTAGAGCCATCCAGGGGTTGTGTGTGGACTATATTGCGCATCACACCCTAATGAATAGGATAATCTGGTGTCTGGGAACTTCCAGTGGACATTTCCTCTGGTTGACTGCCCAGACACATTGTGAGAACACATTGAAGCTCTGCCAAAGGTCCTACATAGCACCAGAGATGGGTGACCTGCTGTAGTCGCACAGCCTCTCTGAGTTGGGTATGACCTGCCATAATGCCAATCGACCTGGTGACTGCAAGACATCACGAAGCAAGACTCCACTCCTGTAACCTTATCCCTGTTTTTGATGTACCTTCTTAAAAAAATTTAATAAACCACTGGAGCCATTTTCTAATTGCCTAGCTCCAGCTCCTGTGCGGACTGGACCTATCAGGGGCTCCAACTTTTTGAAACTATCTTTCTGACTTTGTCTCTTGTTCTTCACTAGTTGTAGACTTTAATTTCTTAGGTGGCTTACACCCTACTTGGAAGGAAGAAAGACCACCTAAGGAGACAATGGCTACCTCCCCATATTAAGCATTAGTGTTTGAAAGTTCAAAGACCTCAATTTTTTACAGAAATTTTTTGATGCTTTATCACAAACAAAATTATCCATGTATATGTGATACCATGTTATATTTTGACACATGTATACATTTTGTAATGTTCAAATCAGGGTAAACACATTTCCCCAAACATTTATCCTTTCTTGATGGTGAAAACATTTGAAGTCCTCTCTTCTAGCTTTCACAAGCATGCAGTACATTATCATTATCAGTAGTCTGCTTCCTACTTAGAGGCACTTGGTTCACAGTACCATGCACTGGTGTATTGCCTTTTAGAATATGCAAATCAACCTTTTAATCTACTTTTTATTAGTTTGATGATTCCTGTGTTTTTCAGAAAGTAACACCCAACATCACACATGACCAGATGAAATGCAGATCCACTGTCTTATCTAGATCTGCACAAACCTAGAAACTGTCCTTGACACACCACCCTGCCAAACAACTCTGTCCACACAATGTGAAGCATTTGAATGAACAGGGTCTGGGATTTTGCAAAACTCAACTCAAATTCAAGCTCTCAATTTTCCAGTTTCCTATCTGACTTTCCATGATCATAACAAATTATAGGTGAACATAAAAGAGAAAAATGTACAGATGAAGCCTGACTCCTAGTAAACATTATATTTATGAATTTTCTTTCCTTCTACTACCAC